TTTCGCGCCCCCCTTTTAGATGACTAAAAGAGTGCCATGCTGCCTAGTCAATGTATAGAGCATATTTAGCACTCCCTCTCAGGTGATTAGGTGGGGCACCTGCCCCATTTGCCCCCTCCTCGTACGGACGCCTATGGGTAGGCCTTTCGGAGAAGCTCTTAGCATTTCTAGACGCCCTTGAAATCACTTTTTCAAAATGGTTTAGCTACAACGAAAAAGCTTGTTCCCTCCTTGAAAAAAAAATAAATAAAATATGCCACCTTGGGCTGTGCACCACATGGTCCGAGCCTCACTAATCAAGTGACCAAGTTTTTTCTGCTCACCCATTTGCGTTTTTACACAAAGGCACTCCACAAAGAGCGAACATATTCCCGTGAAAAGAGGAAGTGCCTAAAGCTCAGGCAGATCGCTTAGGCTTGCAGCCCAATGTTATGTGGGGCGCTTGTGAACTATAAAACTTTTGAGGGGGGGGGGGGGGCAAAAAAAAAGACGCACGACAAACTATTGATTGATATGTAGGGTTCAACGTCCCAAAACCACCATATGACTATGAGACGCCTCAGTGGTGGTCTCCGGAAATTTCGACCACCTGGGGTTCTTTTATCTCAGGACAAATGATGAATAAGGCATTGTAAACAGATAGTGAAATAGGTTGTATGACCTGTGTGCAGAAAATAAAAGGTTTTCATCCAGATACCGCTCATGATTCTCGTCTCAGAGTTTGACGTTACTAATGATGGGGCTTTGTTTACAGATTAGTGCTTGAGGAAATTATGGTTTGCCGTGGAAGGTGTTGCAAGCAATGGCTCACAACTGAGTTCATCGTTCCACTCATCTACCACTTCACAACGATAAAATTTTTCTGTGCCGTCACGTGCTCACTTTCGGCACCCTGTTGATATTTCAGTGCAGTCGCGCACCCGCGTAGGCAGCTTGTAATTCCAGAAGCTAATTAAAATATTTTCTCTGTCGTCTTTTGAGGTCACGCAGGAGCAACAAAATATATTTAAAATTTTTCACATTGCCAGTGTGCATGGTTAATTCCCATCTCTGCACAGCGCATCGTCTCCTTGGGTGACGCGCAAACGTGTGCCAACGCCACCTGGCAGTTTCCTCTCAAGGTGTTACGCGCTAGCTGGCGCTTCGTCTCACTTTCCTATTCTAGCCACTGTAGCTACGTTGCTGCTCGTGACAGCTTCAGCGTCAACTCGCACAAGGCTAGAGTCAGCGAGAAGAATGCCATCATTCTCGAGAGAATCGCTGCCAGTTGCATTGTCGCGGGCCGCTTGCTTATCATTTGTAAAGCCAGATGATGGCATGCCCTTATCTTGCAGACCACTATCACCTGCGCCAACGATGTCGGATGCCCGCGAGTCGCTCGATCATCAGTAGAGCGGCGCGATACCATGCCTTTGCGGAGCAGACCGCAATCACCTCCATCGTCATTATCGGGTGTCGAAGCAACGACGCACGCTTGCTGATCGCTTGCAGAAACCTGTGATGTCATTCCGTTAGTACATTCTTTTTTTATTTTGGCTCACTTTCGGTTGATCTGATACTCTGAGTGGAACTTTCTCAGTCCTCCTGGAACGTTTGTCATGGGAGTGTAGCTAAAATGTGCCTTAAGCTAAAATGTGCCTCAACTAGCCAGGTTTTCAAATGAAGTGCCGTAAGCCAATCAGACAACGCCATTTTAGCCATGTGATCGGAAGTGGCCAATGACGTTTTACGCCTACTTTCTTTTTCCTTGTTATTTTCGGGAGTGGCAAGCTCGGTGTTGCCTGACCTAGCGATAAAAAAGACTAATGCGAAAGCTTTTAAACAATACCAAAATAGCCACGTTGGAGCGGGCCATTCAAGAGTTACAGACAGCCGAAATAAGCGAGATTTGTTCACAATTTAAAGGGCTGGGGGCATGGCAACGCGTCTTTGATTTACTGTTATGCCGCTAGTACGCGAGATTTTGAAACAAGAACTTGCACACAGGTGCACAGTGGTAGAAAGAATACAAAAATTAGATTTTTGAAAATTCGATTTTTGGGCAAATTTTTGAGTCCCAAGAGCCATGTCTCCCCTTAATATTGCTTCTAAAAACTATAGCCTTGCTTCGTAAAACATTCGAATATGTTGCTATCTTATTCATTGCTTTGCCCTTTTGGCAAAACTTACTTTTTCTTGCTTTATAACAATCACATAAACATAGACAAGCACGAACACTTTAAACCACCGCATTGCCATTCCTGCAGAAATTGTCATGAGAAGCACCTCAGGCAATACGTTACACGCTGCAACACGTTCAAATTTTACTTTTTTTGCTTCCATTGAAACATAGAATGCGTTGCTCCAAGATATTATTGCCATGGATAGCGTATGAAATTTTGCACAATGATTAGAGGAGTATTTTCGTACGCTATAACATATTGATGTCTTTTTTTTCTTTTTTTTTTGCATTCTTGACTGTGAGGCTTGCGAATTTATTTATTTATTTATTTATTAGAATACCCTCAGGGCCCGTAGGGCACTACAGAGGGGGTGGGTACAACATATATAACACACAAGAAAAAAAGACAAAATAAAGAAACAAGTATCAGATGCGCAAATCAGGAAGGCAACATAAGTCAACTAAAAATGTATAAGAATTCAAGCACATACAAGACAAAGATAGATAATGGAAACTGCATATAGTTACAAGCATTGCTGAGAAATTGCAGTCTTGAATAACAAAGGGTCTGTTATTGATACAACGGAAGAGGGAAGGTGGTTCCAATCGGCGGCTGTTTTCGGTAAGAAGGCTGCTGAAAAGAATTTGGTGCGGCAAAACGGAATGGCAACCTTATGCTGATGATCAATGCGCGATGAGTGGTATGACGGTTGTGAAATGAGGTCTCGCTTCATTGATGGATTGTGAAAAAATATCTTATGAAAAAAATGCAGTCGCGCCAGTTTCCTCCGGACAGTTAAATTTGGTAGGTCAAGGTTAGATTTCATTTCTGATATGCTAGCAGTACGGGAATAATTAGAACAAATGAACCGAACTGAGCGGTTCTGAACAGATTCTAACGCGTTAATTAAATTTTGCTGCACGGGATCCCATATATCGGACGCGTACTCAAGCTTTGGGCGAATTAGTGATCGGTATAATAGAATTTTGAGGGAATTATTTGTTGCTTTGGTTGGCATAAATAATGTCTAGTTTCATTTAGTGTATATTGTAACCATTCCCTCCTTGATTACGAGACTTACCACACTTTGTTGTTTTAGTTATTATGACTGTCTAGTTTGACATCTTGTACGATGTACTTCTCCAGTGTATTTCTTGACACACTCCCTGTAATGGCCTAGAAAGACTGGCAGTATTTGACAAATAAAATGAAAAAATAAATATACAACACAAGCGGAACCAAAGCTGCTGGAAACTGGCTGAGAAGGCCACCTCCACATTTTATACATGCGGCATATCTTGGCAAATGCCTTTTGTAGAATAAATATTCTCTGACTCCCAGCAGCAGCTCTCTATTGAATTGCTGGCATACATTATTATTATTAGTATGCTGGCATACATAATTATTACTTCTAAAAACTGTCAGATTGCGAAGCTGACACTTTAATATTTGACGTGCAAAGGTTCTTTTGATTACAGAACATTGATGTTACTGTTGCATAACTACGAGGGGCACGCATTTCTGTCAAGTTCGCCAGCCAAGTGCATTTTCTCAACAACAAATGTACACTGGTTCGGGCAGAGGTCTGTCAAAAATCACTGTGTTGCCAAAACGGGCAAATTTAAATTGACTGTGACAGTTGAGTGGCTGGACCAACTACCGTATTTACTCACGCTTTAACCCACTCGCATAATGAACCTAACCCCCACCTTGGTTTTTGAAAAAAAAAAAAAAATATTTATATATATAAAATATTTGTTCATATTATTTTAGTATGATAGCCAGGGCTGTTGACAATCGAAACAACATTGAATCAAGCCATTATATAATAGAATAACAACGCAATAAAAGTCAAAGCATAGTTTTGCAACCATGCTAAAAAGTTGCGAGCGCAAAGGACATCAATGGAAATTTGAAAGTCGCGCCTTTTGCGGCAAACTGCCATCTGCCAAATGCAAGAGAAACCACTTTGCTGATAACTCCACGCAAGCACAGTGGCACAAAAACAACAACAACAAAAAAAACAAAGCGCGTGACGTCCGAAATGGCGGGCGTGCGGTTAAAAACACGCCGCGCCCACCATCTCCGAGGCCATGAAAACGCAACTGCACCCATGGCACCCACGGCGCATCGCAGACCTGAAACATCTACCGTAAAATTTGTGCGCCGCTGTCTGACTCTGCGGTTTTGTTGTCGGGTTTTTCGTTGTCAACTTAGTTGGGGCACTTGCTGCGCAGATGCCCCAACTAAGCCATGTAGCTAGCGTCCCACCGGCACACATGGCTGGTTACAAGCAGCGGGCACTGGAGCATTGGAATCGAGCTGCTGGACCAAACTTCAGTGTCGATCCGTGCGAAGAAACAAAAAGAGCTTCAGGACTACAAAAAAGATCTGTTGTGCATTTCATGCGCCAAACCAAGTAAAGCCGTCACAGGAAGTTTTCGCTGTTGTAACTCCCGTCACTTTTCTCCTGCGTAATGAACCGTCCTCCCAAGTTGGCGTCAACTTTTCTGAAAAAAAGGGGGATTCGTTACGTGAGTATGGATCGTGCCTGACAGGAAGGACATTCTTATGTAAACATTCGTAGTAATTGGAAATCTTAACTTTTAAAGCGCAAAATTGTTCAAGACAGCTCACAGCCTTCATTGAAGTGAACCTGCGGCTTGTGTTGTGTGTTCTGGAACGACCAAATCAATATGGCTCAAACTAAAGCCCTCTTTCAGAGCAGGTAGCTAGCTATCGCATCCCTTCAATTGAGTTCTTTGCCAAAGGTCTTCTTTAGCAAACACTGCCTTTCCAGCCGGAGGAGTATATTTTGAGAGCGTCTTTTGCTTGCAGATGAACAGAGCTGCTCAAGTGGCAGCCAGCAGGAAGAGTGTGTGCCCCTGGGCTCGCCCGCTGAGCCCACAGTGGAAGAGTGCTGGGCACAGCGAAAGAGCCAGCTGACACGGCTCGAGTCTCGGCTCGGTGACAAGCGCAGGGCTCTGCAAGCACTGCAGGCCACACCAAATTCAGACCCCAAGGTATATGTCTCCCTGAAAAGCTGTGGTGGTTGAACATGCCCGGCCATGTAAGCCCACTGCAAGTCGAGTGCCTATCCGAACCACGGGAACAGCTCGCAAATGAGCTATCTTTAAGCTGAGACACCGTGCACAGTATACAACTGGGTTAGATGCTGATCAAGTATACAAACTGGAGTGGTCAGATCAACAATAGAGACGCATAGTCCCACCAATATTGTGACTCTGGTCCTATCTGCCACCTCATCTAGAAGAAGCTGATGGGCAAACGCAGCACTATTGTAAAAGTCAAGTTGAGTTACAGATTTCGCATAGCATATTATAGGAGGAGGTGCCACAGTTTCAGATAGACTGCCAGGGGGGCTTTTTGTGTACTATGTGAACGGGGTAATGATGGGAATGGGGACCATATCTGCCAAGTTTCCTGGATTAATGAAAAAACTCCAGGATTTTGGCCGTTTGTTCCGTTTGTACTGTTGTCATGAAAGTTTCCCGGAAATCGAAATTTCTGTGCGTTATCTGGCCGCATTAACAAAAAAAGCAGCTCACCACTCCACGTTTTTTGAACCTACCCCATTTTATTATAAATGAGTTGAAGAGGTGTTCATCTAAACATACATCTCAGTGATCCGAAACTGTGGCAGATATGAATTGGTCAAATTCACCTGCCAAATTTTACTGTGTTCATTTTGCCTAAATTTTAATGCTCCGAACACATTTTCTAATAGTGGCGGGTGATACGAACTTTAATTTGGAAACTGTCGAATGAAGGCCGAGAGCAGCATACTCGAAGCTGCGGAAGTACGCGTGCGACCGGCGCACGCACTTTCTTCTACAGTGCGTGTAATTGTCGTTCCCACAACCACTGTGGACGAGCTGCGGGTCCCTCTCGACACAATTATGTATGGCGACAATGTAACTGACAGAACCCCGAAAGTGTGCGCTCAACAAGTCAAAGCAACGCTCCTTTCCACAAATTATGTGGACAATACTGTGGCAGATGTGATCGTAGATGGCATAAAACGACTTGGTTTTGAAGGCTCATGCGCAGCCAAGCCCATGGGAATTGTAAAAGGAACGACCGTTTGCCACAACCGCCACGCACAAGGCGAGCTCCAAGGGCACGCAGCGGTAAATTAAAGACAGTAAATACGTAACAAAAAATCACAGTTTCGCCGCAAGAGCGAAGCAATAAATGCAACAGCAGCCACTTGGAATGTCACGCTGAGAACAGCAAGCAGATCGAAATGTGCAGCACGCTGCTCACGAACAAAAACGATATACATAGGACGAGGGTGAACTAACAACGTTTACTGCTCGACACGTAACGTGCTGTTTAAACAAAAACGCTGCACGATAGGTAATGACAGGTACAGATGAGTACAAACTAACAAGTGTCCCAGTTATACCTCGGTGTGTATGAAAAGCGTGCTCTTTTCGCAAATGGGCTTGTGCAAAGATCGAAGTGACCTTTGTGGGCCCGGAAACTAACGCAATCATTCCAGAGAAAGCCAAAGGCACACGATTCTTTTCACCAAAAGCTAAGTGTGCACGAACAAGCATCTACCCCTCTTCCTCCCCCCAATCTGCAGGGCAAAGTATGCATGAGAGATAAGCGCGTGTCGGCGCATCGTGACGAGCTTGGCCCGAAGCGTGAGCAGCTTTTTTTTTCTTTCTTGAGTGTTCATATATATATAGATACATATACATAAAATGTGAATGATGGCAGCGGCAAAAAACCAGCCTAGACTGTCCATATAATTGCTATCGTAATAAAAAGGGGCCAGACGCTCTGTCAAAAGAATCTAGTAGCGAGCAAAGCTTTGACCCGCGCATTTGCGGCAGCCAGCTGCGCCGTCCCCTTCATTCATGTCTGTCTTTGGAAGACATACGTGAGTTGTTTTGGTGGAAATAGATTATGCTAGTTGTGTTGATCTTTTGAGACTCTCACCTTAGGAGAAACCCTACCCTCGTGTGTTTGGCCTATCCAAGCCACTATAAGACCTCAACGCTCGTGTTGGTGCTTGAGATTGAGGACCCCCCCCCCCCCCCCCTCTTGTTTTTCTGCGATGTTCTTTTTTGTTTATGTATTTTTGTTTTTTGTGGTAGAAAAAAATATGGGCAAATAATCAGCCCCCCCGCCCCCCCCTTGTTGTGAAAATCTCCTGGATTCAAAATTCTTGAACTTGGCAGGTATGGGACTACTTGAATGACAATGGGCCCACCTAGCAATATTTTAGTGGGTGTACAGTGCAGTGCTTTAGTTGAACTTGTGACACTCTGCAATGACATTGAGTCGGTGGGTGCGGATTTGCAGATGGTCAGAGTTCTGGAGAAAGAGATACAAGACATGCGTGCCAAGTGTGACCTCCTTACCAACCAACTGAAACGAGCACACGACTGGATACAGGGCTTGGGAAAGTGGACCGTCACCATAAGCGGCTCTCAGGTGGATGCTTAAGCAGTAATTACTGGCAGACTCAGTGCACATTTCTTTGCATATTTTGCCAACGGTGGTTTTATTGACAGGCCTAAATGAACGTGTATGGTAGTCTTTTGTTTAATGTCTGGCTCATTGTGTCCGTTACATTACCAATCATTAAGAGTGCAAATTATTGAGAATCACTAAAATATTATCTAAAGCTTGTTGCTTGCTACGCTTTTCTCTGCGTGGCATTGTCAGAAGTTAGTCGTAAGAGGCAGTAATGAGTGCTCTGCGTCAACTGCTCCCAGAATTAAATGCAATGTCAAAACACTAAGAGTATCAATTGTGAACAGCGCAGTCTACTTATAACAATATCCAATGAACTAACAATTGTTGTTCGGTGTGTTCCTAAGTTTAAATATTTTTTTCAGTAGTCTTTGCTATTAAATTCGATTCGCGTCGGAGTTTTACTCTTCCCTGAGACAAATTATTTCCAGTGAGCGTCCAATTGACTGTGACTCCTTCTGATTTTAACGCGATATTGTTTAATGTCTGGCTCATTGTGTCCGTTACATTACCAATCATTAAGAGTGCAAATTATTGAGAATCACTAAAATATTATCTAAAGCTTGTTGCTTGCTACGCTTTTCTCTGCGTGGCATTGTCAGAAGTTAGTCGTAAGAGGCAGTAATGAGTGCTCTGCGTCAACGGCTCCCAGAATTAAATGCAATGTCAAAACACTAAGAGTATCAATTGTGAACAGCGCAGTCTACTTATAACAATATCCAATGAACTAACAATTGTTGTTCGGTGTGTTCCTAAGTTTAAATATTTTTTTCAGTAGTCTTTGCTATTAGATTCGATTCGCGTCGGAGTTTTACTTTTCCCTGAGACAAATTATTTCCAGTGAGCGTCCAATTGACTGTGACTCCTTCTGATTTTAACGCTATCGCGTTCAAGAGCTCGTTTTGCAGAAATTCTGGCGTCGGGGTGTCGTTGGTTGCGAGAAAGAAATCAATTTACACGTGACCGAAAAATCGAGAACGATGCAAATAAAATAAATAAATTATAAAAATCGTGGAGCAGGGTTGTTTGGGTCCAAGTGGGGATCGAAACCGGGACGTTTGTGTGTAAAGCGGGTGTTCTACCCCACGGTCATGCCTCTGCTTGTGTAAGCAGTGAAAAGAACTTCCTCTGCTTGGAAATGCAGTGAAGATAGCTTTCAGATTTCACAAACACACGCGTCCTGTATATATGCTTCACAATGAAACATGAAATATTGCAGTAATAATGCGTGGTACAAGCATCCATTACCAACGGGTTTCAGAATATGTGGTTGTTATAATAGCTCGTGGTTGAAAGCCGGTTCTCCACTACAAAAGACACACATGCTACTGTGCCTATCCCCTTAAGGCCACGAAGTGGGTGCATAGCAAATTCGAAAAGGTTTCATGTACTAAGTGTTTCAAGTACACACTAGGAACAGGATGTCGCTATCGGGTTCAACTCCTAAAGGCGAACCTTTAGGGTCCCCAAATTTTTTATTATGCTTCAGTGGGGAAGGTCGCAGCAGCACTAGCACCATGCTTAATCACTGTCTCTTCCTTGTGCAGTTTTGCGCTGGCGTGGCTGCTCTCTTGTAGCCGCATCTTCGATGGATTTTGGTGTCTCACAGACTGCTGATCGACACGTGCAATCTATGGCTTGCGTGTGCACCGACTGCCCTGTCCTTCTGGAGGATAGCCAAGAATCGTTCGTCAGCATGCTGGCCATTCTGCAAACAAGCTTTATCAGTGACATCGCCTATGACGGTGGAATTTTCAACGTGCCCACCGGTGTGACATCAATGAACAAGAATATAAAAGCGCCACCGAAACTTCATCGCTTCAGTGGGGAAGGTCGCAGCAGCACTAGCACCATGGTTAATCGCTGTCTATTCCTTGTGCAGTTTTGCGCTGGTGTGACTGCTCTCTTGGTAGCCGCATCTTCGATGGATCTTAATGTCTCCCCGACTGCTCATCGACCCGTGCAATCTACGGCTTGCGTGTGCACCGACTGCCCTGTCCTTCCTCCGGAGGATAGCCAAGGTTCGTTCGTCAGCATGCTGGTCATTCTGCAAACAAGCTTTATCAGTGACATCGCCTATGACGGTGGAATTTTCAACGTGCCCACCGGTGTGACATCAATGAACAAGAATATAAAAGCGCCACCGAAACTTCATCGCTTCAGTGGGGAAGGTCGCAGCAGCACTAGCACCATGGTTAATCGCTGTCTATTCCTTGTGCAGTTTTGCGCTGGTGTGACTGCTCTCTTGGTAGCCGCATCTTCGATGGATCTTAATGTCTCCCCGACTGCTCATCGACCCGTGCAATCTACGGCTTGCGTGTGCACCGACTGCCCTGTCCTTCCTCCGGAGGATAGCCAAGGTTCGTTCGTCAGCATGCTGGTCATTCTGCAAACAAGCTTTATCAGTGATATTACCTATGACGGTGGAATTTTCAACATGCCCAACGATGTGACGTCGACGAACAGGGATATATCGTAAAAGTTCCGCCGAAACTTTATCGCTTCAGTGGGGAAGGTCGCAGCAGCGCTAGTACTATGCTTAATTGCTGTCTCTTCCTTGTTCAGGTATGTTATCTCAATAACGCTTACTGCTTCTGATCAGACAATAGATGTTTGCTGCTAGTACCTTGACCCCACTCATGCTCACTGGTTTCACTCCTTTGTATGCTGATATTATTCATTGTTCGTGTAGTTTCTTACTAAGCAGTGATGTTGAGTTGAACCCGGGGCCTACCCAAAGGTCAACTCGCGCTAATATGACGGACTCAAGAAGCCTTTCATCGAGAACAGCTTCCCCTGGAACAGCTTCCAATCAAATGAAAGGTAGTCATACATCAACTACCGATTCGGGTAATCAATGCTCAGTGTCAGAAATGTTTGTGTGAATTCTATCTGGTCAAAAGAAAATAGAACCCGATGTCTCGGAATTGGGTAGCTCTGCCAATCGTGATTGGCGGTTCTCGAACAAGCACCACCTTCGGATAATGCTACACTTCACGACAACCTGCACTGCCAAATTGAGAACTTGACTTCTACAGTCAACAAGCTCTCTTCTAAAAAATGATGATTTAGACAATCGATCATGCCGAAACAAAATTTTTATACATGGTCTTGAGGAATCAGAAGATGAAAATGACAATTCTTTACAGGGCAGCCTGAAAAGCTTCTTTTCAGAAACACTTAAGGTTGATTTTCCGCAGATCGAACGGCTCCACAGGATTGGTACATACTATAGTAGTAAATCCCGCCCTGTTATTATTAAGCTTCTTGATTTCCGCGAAAAGATCAAGGTGTTAAAGAATGACTTCAAACTTAAGAGTTCCGAACTACGGATATCTGAAACTTCTCGGAGCATGTACGGTTTATTCGTCAAAAATTATGGAACGCTACTGCTTTTTTCAGGAACAATGGTTCTTTTGTACATTTAGGTATGAACATGTATTTGTTGATAGTGAACGGTATCACTGGAATTGCATTTCCAATTCACAATTGAAGTCCTCGAAACAGTCTATTAAGAGCTCTAATGTTCCATCCAACCGTAGAAAATGACCACATCATGAGGCACAAGATAACATCTGCCTACTGAATATTAATGCCAGAACTCTCAATAACAAACTTCCTGATTTTATACATTTGCTTGCAACTTATTGTCCCCACATTATTGGTGTCACGGAAACTTGGCTTCACGCTGACATTTACGACTCAGAAGTTACTCCACCAGGGTTCAATGTTGTTCATGCTGATAGACAACATGGTCGCGGTGGGTGTGTGGCCATCTTCTTGAGGTCTGATTTGAGTTTTTCTGTACTGAAGTCACCTCCAGATATCGAAATTGTTGGGTGTAAGGTCCGTATCGCGATTACCTCTCTAATTGTCGGTATATTTTGATCGCTCACCTGGCTCATCACCAGATCAACTAATGGTACTCAGTAGTTTCATAAACCAAAAAGGGCTTTCTTCAGTGGGCACCTAATTTGCATGGGTGACTTTAATGTGCCCGGCATCTCTTCGCAATGGCTGTCCATCCTGGGTACTGATTTACCACTTGGTATGAAGTTGGTCAGAGGAGGAATAAATGAGAAAGGACAGGGAGGTTAGCCAGTTCTCAGACCGGCTGGCTACCCTGTCAATTCTTCATTAAACTTAGGACTAAAACAAGTTGTGATTGATGCCACAAGAGACAGTGCTATCCTAGACTGTGTTTTTCTGAGTGCGTTACTTTATACAAGGGGCTTTACATCTCAAGTCATTAATGGCAAACACTAATTTCCAAAAGACTGCTGCCATGTGTTCTAGCAGGCAGAAAACACCATCAATGTTCAATTATTCATTTAACAACTACATTGTACAGCGGGTCCCACACTACAAATATCTTGGCCTCCTTTTCACCATAAACTTATCATGGTCTCAAAACATCGACGCTACTTGCAACAAAGCTCTAAGAAAAAAAAAACACTGGTATCTTAACCGTTCACTACATTTAGCTCCAAAAGAAACAAAATTGTTAACATATAAAACTCTCCTAAGATCAATACTTGAATATGGCGCCACTGTACGGTACCCATACTAAATTGATGACATAAATCGCATTGAATCCATTCAGAAAAAATCTATTTATTTCATATATAGATGTTATGACTTCAATTTGTCACCGACATCCCACCTAGTGCACATTGGTTTATTTACTTTATTTATTTATTTATTTACTAATACTGCGGGTCACAATTGGGCCCAAGCAGGAGTTGGGGTGTTACAGAGCCGTTAAGGTGGCGGTCCCACTCCAGTGGCAAGAGCTCGACATTTTAGTCGTTGTTTACTGGCTCACTGTGCTTGCTCTGCTCAATGGAAGAATATGAGTTCTATTGCATTAGAAAGTTCACGTTCTCCGCGTTCTAATGACAACTAGTATTTTCGCCTAGTCCGGAGTGTTATTTAATGGCAATTAAAACAGTGTGAGC